TCTGAGAATGTGAAGCAAGCGATCAAGCTAGTGTAGTAACAACACCATCACAGAAAGAACTTCGCTGCGCGCGGATCAAACATACTAATAGACAAGATCTGGAGTATGTCATTCAGAGGATACGAAGCCCCCGGGTTCGATTTGAGACTCTATGCCTCCAAAAATTATTCAAACAGTCCCATGAACCGAAAACTTGCCTTCTAACTCCAAAATAATCTACTGCTCTGGACATTGAGCAACATTCACGAACCTTCTCCACCAATCTACCATAAAAATGGACCGTGAGAGGAGAGCCGAAAAGTTGGTATCGATCAGTCACCGTACTGAACACAGCTTCTTTTGCGTTGCATAAGTAAACCACTGTTATACGCCTTTTTGCAATATGATAACTACTATTTGAATTTTATACGTAGTGCTCAACTTAATCATCCTCAAATCATTCAAGGAAGAAACAACTAAAGTAATTTTCATTCAGAATGTACACGAAAAAAGAAGCAAAGAATCAGTCCACTTTGTTTGAATTTCTTTGATTTTACATAACACTACCTTTAACAAATTGATTACCGCAGAGGTTCAAAGGCACCGCCGAATGTAATGCAAATGCTACAATTACAAGTGCAGGGAAATGCACTGCACGGCAACTGCAAAAAAGGAATGATGTTGTTATGTGTACTATTAACGTGCTATTTTGCCGTTCATGCAACTGGAGAGAACAAGTGACATAAGCCAAGAATCCAAAATATACTTCATGAACAATGTTCAATGAAAGATTTAGGATCTAATGCTGATAAGGTAACTGGCACCATGTAAAAAATAAATAAATAATTTATTACAGGACCGAAGGCAATAAATAAATAATTAAACAAAATTGGCTAACGTTTATCAATAAGCTTTAAGCACCCATGTGCAATGCTTCTTTATCAGCGTAATATTAAAAAGAGTACAAATTATTAAAATTAAAAACAATTTGTTGAGGGGGATTGCTGTTTGCTGAACTGTACAATCAAAGTCCTTACGTTTAGTTTCAAATGAGGAAACCTATTTAAGGTAACAGTTTAAAGGCCCGATGTCTTTTTTCACAGCTCCAAACACTCGGGAGAAGCCGATTCCAAAAAAGCTGAATGAAGTAGCAATTTGACACTAAATGATTAGCAGCACAAGAGCTGGCGGCATCCCGCGATATTACATCGATGTAAACATAAGTAAGCACGGATAACGCACTAGTAAGACGTAATTTACAAGCTACATTTGTTTCACTTTTGAATTTCGTAACTATTTATCAAGAAAGCAACTTCATACTGGGTTATTTTGATTTGCCGAAGAATCTTAAAATTACTGTTTTGTAAGTAGGAGTAAATAAAAGACTGTTCTCAGCATCTCGTCCTATTGTAACCGACAGTACAGTTTCATTTTACATTTGGCCTATCGGACGTCTTCCGTAGTCTGTTTGAAGTGTATGTAATAACTGATGAATGACGTGACAAATACGACACTGTTCAATGCACACATATCCCTATCGTACTCTAAACTACATGCATTATTTGTTCCATAAGGCTAAAAAAATAAATAACAATACATGCAGCAGTACTTGAAAAACTTTTATTAACACCTATCAACTTTTATTAACACTAAAATACCCCGGTAGTACGCTAGAAAACATTAAACTAAGTTCCAATGAAAATATTAAAGTTCATCCTCCGCTGAACGGAGGCATTACTGCTATTTCAATACCTTCAAAGAGTTTTAGATTCGCATGCATATCCGCTATGTATTCCATGTTGACAGCGATCAGGCAGTTTTGAATGACATCACGCAAGGCCGGAAAAGTTTTCGTCAGATATTCCACCAGTTCCTTACCACTCAAGTCCGACTTCAGATTCGCCATGACCGTGTTTTGACCACCCACCAGTTCTCGAGCACGGGCAAAAAACAATAATTTGGCGTTTATATCAGTTACTGGATCGCTACAGCATTCATTGGGATCCATTAACAAGCAAGATCTTGCTGGCTATAACCACAGTCTGAGCTAGAATAAAAAAAATCGCCATGCATAGGGCAAAACTTAATAAGTGAATACCCATATATGAATATGCGAACATTATAAATAAAAAATTAATCTAATGCAGATTATTCAGCACTGATACTCCTTTGATAATAGATTAACCCGTTGATTTAAAGGGCAACAAACATAAAATTGCATGACCGAACGACAAGATAATGAAAAATGTAATTAGGGACAATGAATATAGACATGATTAACTAATTAAAGATTGACACCAAACATTGCATGACAGACCTGCCTACACAGTTCAATGCAATCTCCATAGATTCGCCCTGATCTCCAGGGCATCGTATGCGGTGGTGCCCTCAACACTTATTTTTGTTCGACTGACTTGTACTACAACGTCTTCCATCATATTGCACACACTAACAGTAAGAGTTTCAAGGCTATTGCCGTAGTAGGTCAGCAAAACAGTAACACAATAAGCGGAAAACAGGATTAGGACTGTAGCGCCAAACAAACAACTATGCACTATAGCGACGGAGGCGTTGAACCATTATCCAACAATACCGTCCGCATACAGCAAGACTTATCACGAATCATATGAACAGCTGAAAGCGATTTTTAATTAAATGGATGATTACAATAATCTTCATCTTCCATCCCCGCTTCTCCTTTCGGGTCGCGGAGGCAGACACGTCAGACAGTGCTTCCAACGTTCCCGATCCTGTGCCA